CACGACTTCGATAAAAGTACCGGACGGTATTGAAGAACCCCTCTGTACGTAATTCCCCAGACCACCGTCAGCCCTGCTAACAGTAGGTAAGATTTAATGCGCTCTGACATCACAAAGAACTGCGCCTCTCTCGACCCGTTCAATGGCGGCGGTTCGATGAGCGACTGATGAGGGGCCTCTAAGAATCAATGTGAAAAATCACCAACTGGCAGACGGACTTCCTTCGCCGCTTGCATTTACAACGGTGGAACACTGGCTAGGAAAGAGCCATTAAACTAACTAACGGAAGAGTCGTTACGGATAGCTTATGACATCCCTGACCTCTGTGAGGCACGACCGCTGAAAGATGGTTGTTCGGGTTGGCTGGGAAGAGTAGAGGGTGCGAAGACCATGGGAAGAATCAGATTTGTGCTCAGCCAAAGCTAGTCCTCAAAAATGGTCTCGTGCGATGTGAAATCAGAAAGACTTGGAGTGTGGGTTGCCTCCAGCGGAATAAGGAGAGAACCTTGAAGGTCGTCGAAACCCATGCCCCACAAGCACAGGAGAAAGCGAAAAATTTCTATCGAGAATTGGAACTGACACTTGTCCCAAAGTCTATGTACACCCTCCACATGTGAGACTTCAATGTCAAGGTCACACAAGAAAGGGCCTGGTGGAAATTTCATCGGTAGGTGCGGCAATGGTTGGCGAAATGTACCAGAGGATGGGCTGCTGACCGAAACAAAATACCTGTACATTAGCAATACGTAGTGTAAGAAGTCGAACAGGAGATGGACACTGATTACGCCTATCGACGTCGTCCTGTTTCACAAACGTCACATCGTCTGAGACATGGCAGCAGTGCCATCATTTAATACCGGTAGTGATCACTGGCTGGAACGGATCGCACAAACCTTCAAGAAGAATATTAAGAGGAAAGTAATGCAGAAGGAAAATCACAGACAACTACCGAAGATATTCCACGAGACAGTGCTCCAAGAGCGCATTTCCCGCGACAACTGAAGCCTGAAAATCACCTACGATGAGAACCTCGTCGAGGGTATTGAGTAAAGTCAGTCGAGGTGTCAAAATCAATGACAGCGAAAGAAAAGATCTCAGAAGAGAGGAAAAATTATCTCGAGAAGCGAAGAAGGATGAAGAGAAATTAGACCAACATAGTTAATTACTCTCTTCCCTGCTAGCTCATTAGAAAAAAGCTGAAGAGGACCTTCAGATTGCATAAATTAGAGAAAACAGCGGAAGAACGTAGAAGCCTCAGACAATTCATCAGAGAGTTAGCAACTTATCACCCTATCATCTTCACAGTGTTGAAGAAGACAGACGGCGCACTAACGTTTGATAAAGCTGAGATGCAGTCTATCTGCAAGAACTTTTACCCCCAGCCCTTTGCGCCAAAGAGACACATTCCTGACCATCATTCAAACAGCCAATAGGAAGTGTACTACTTGTCCTAGTGAGGGAAGTCCCGCGCCCCGCGTAACAGACGATGAAGAAAAATCCTTGACAAGAGACTGTCAGATAATTAAAATGACCGGTGCAGGTGGTCAGACGCTGTGGAGGGCTCTAGCGGGGAGGTTCAGTTGCTACCTGGAAACGGAAAGATGTATCTGGCTGAAAGGAGTCAAAACCAATCGTTTTGATAATGCAGGGCGAGACTGAAGATCTGAATGACCATCGCCAAATTTGCCTATTCTACAAGCTGTTCACTGAGATGATCACCAACCGACTGTTAATGAGTACGGACGAGCAGCAGCCAAGAGAAGAGAAAGTATTCTGAAGGAAATACAGCACAACGGATAACATCTTAACCTTAAGTCATTTTCTTGTGCATCGCCTTCGTCAATTACAAAAATACAATGATTACATACAAAGCAGTGTGGCCTTGAAAGGTAGTATAGGGCATCAGCGCCAGTCACATCAACCTGCTAAAGGAAGCAGCAACTCTGACTGTTTCACAGCCATGTTTGACACACTTCTCCGGATTTCCGTAGAGATGGGCATGAAATAAAGGTACGCTATATCTCCTCTCCCCTCCTCAAACTCTTCGCTACCTGTTTGGATACGGCATTCCGGAAAATAAACTGAAAAGATGGAATTAACATCAACTGTGACCAGCTCAGCCATCTAAGGTTCGCCGATTTGTGAAAAATGCCAATCACCTGCAAGGCACGCTGCTAAAAGCTCGACAGTAAAAGGGTAGAGGTTGGATGAGCGCATTCATTTGTCAGTGGCGAAGATATTGCGATCAGATACAGTGCCAAAGGCCAAGGCAATATTTGCCAGTGTTAATATAATTGCATTTATTTGAGTCATAAGATCAACGTAGGGCATGATCAGGCCAAAGAAGTTTACTGAGGGAAGAGGTCCGGATGGCGGGAGTTCAGTTTTATCAAAGACGTCCTCTTCACCAATAATAGGAAAAACGCACGCTCACCTCTTCAATTCTACCCTCCTGCCGGCAATGTTGTATGGCTGTACGACTTAGTCACTCACACACAGCCGAAGAGCGCCAGATACCTGTCACCGAGAGAGCCATGTAAAAAAGAAATCTTTTGAATCTTACGTCACGACCATATCCTCAACATGGTTATCAGGCAGCAAGAGGGAGTGAAGGACATTGTCGTCGAACACAGGAAGGAGATGCTACAATGGGTGAATCACGCGTATCGGCTCACCTACGACAGACGGTCGCCGATGATCGTCGAATGACATCCTCGAAGACTCCCTAGGACTCTGGTCACTATCACGACAGTGGAAACATTACATCCGCAGAAGAGAAGGTTCCGCTTGGAGGTATGAGACTTGAAGCCGCGAGGAATGGAGGTCGTGCTGCGGCCGGCTTGATTCGTCACTGATTTCCGGCCAGTCCAAATCATCCAAATGATGTCGAAGAGAAGATGCTGTGCTTGCAAGCGCAAACCGAAGAATTGGAAGTTCCCGTCTCGTTGAAACCTAGAAACACGATGGGTCGCTTTCATTTTAATCTCTACGTCTTAATAAGGAATGGTTGAATAAAATCATTAGCCAGTTTCACTAGTAAACGGCTTCAAGTGTGATGTGTTGTAAAAAATGAGTTAAATCTAATTTAAAACTTGAAAAACAAAAAAATTGATAAAACTAATATCAGAAATGAACAGTACAGTCATCGACCTACTAAATGACAATCAAGTGAAAAAACTACAGCTGAGATCCACTATGTATTTAAGGTCAAGTAATTATCATTCACAACCATTCCAGAATCGCAAGCTGAATCAGGCGTGCGTCCAGATTCTGTGGTTAGGCAGATGACTCAGGAAAATCAGGCAATAAATTAATTTATATCTGTCGGGCTCAGACTTGATAACAGTTGTCTCCTCGAAAAGCCCTCACATGGACTTTATTTAAATGAGTCGTCTTTTGCCATATTTTCATCCTGACATTTCAGGACGAATTTATCGTATACTTCACAGAATAGCTTTGAGAAAGGCTGCCTTGGCTTGTTTCGAAAGCTTTTCATCGAATTTTTTAAGATCACCACCAACCCAACCAATTCATACGAGCATTTGACAACACCCTTTCGGAGCGTTCTTCTTTGCTAAGTAGGGTATTTGGAAAAGCAGCAACGACGTGTAAACATTTGACAATCGTGCGAGGCCCAATGAATCACTAACGAGTTGCCATATTTCTTTGTTTGCTGTGTCTGAAAAGGTAATTAGAAAAAATATTGTGCAGCAGGAAAACAGGTGAACGTTGACAAAATCGTGGCCGGTTTCGAAAGCACCTGACAAAGGTACAAAAATGTTTGCCGTATAACACTGGAAAACAAGGAAACCATAATTGTAATATCAGTGATGAAACCGATGCCTATAGAAACAAATTGATCGTAATTATCGAGGCACAAACAGTGTTGATCAACCAGGTGTATTTAATGTCGTTTTAATTGCGTGTGATCATATTATACTGTAAAGAAATGCTTCTCAGGGCGAATTACGGTTTGGGCATTCTGTCCAGCACGGTTGCCGCAAAGGCCTGTCATGAACTCCGAAGCGGACGGCCAACGAGGCTTTGGTGAAACTTTTCTTTTCTAGGTCTGTCACTCACTCAGCCGATTTATCTCTGATCACAGAAAAAATTTATTAAATTTATTATCTGGATCAGATTTTAATCGATAACAGTTCCGGAAATCTCACTGCTCACTTATAAAAATGGATCTCTAAAAAATTCAGAGCGGAGGAAAGTACCTTTCAGTGCTAAATGCCCAATGCTGTTTTCCACATGGAGCATGGAAAACGTTAAACAGACCTGGAAAAGCTACAATGGTTGCAGAAGAACTGAGTCGAATGTAAGTTCAGGCAGGTTGCTGCGAGAGAATAGAGGCACTGACTTGAGGCAAGCCCTGTCACCGCTGGTAGCTACAGCCTCTATTGTACAGATAATGCAATTGAAGGCGCTGCTCACAGAGGTGCTGTTGCATTAGCATTCAGTAGAAATTACAGAGGTGGTGTTACACCGATCTCTTGCACATAGTTTCGTAGGAGACGATTTAAGGAGACATGAAATGTACGGTGTCTGACAACCAGCAGTGCTGGGTGCATCTGGCATTGTTTCATTCTGAAGAAAAATTTTCTTGCTTATCACGAATGATGTTCCGTCACTGTGCTTCATACCTCCATTTCGGCGACATCCATTTATTGCTACAGAACTGAACCAGCTATTCTAATTTGCCTCGAAATTTGAGTCTGGGCATTTCGTCTTGTTCATAATAACCTGTTCCAGAGGTTAAGTTCCCACTTGTCCTCTTTTACCCGTACGAACGAATTTTGTGCCCTGCGGTGTGGTTCAAATTTTCCATATTCAAGGGTCAGTGTTGATCAGCGACAGCGGCAGGAACTGATCGGGTGACGACGCAGGCATGAGTCACGGTTCTGCGTCCCTTCCGCTATTTATTATTCAATATTGACCATTCATTTTGGCACATCGGTCGCTTGGTCATGGTCATGGTGATGAAACCGAAACCAGTTTTACGTTTTCCGTTGTTTGCAGTGGCAGGCGTTTGCAGCGCGTGGCGACAACGCGACCACGGCAGGACATGGCGGGCTACCGGGCACACGGTTGAGGGGAAGCACCAGAAAATCGCCCTCTGTCAACTTGACCCGAATTCGTCGTCGATACGCGATTGTCGTGCGGTCGTGCCCAAAATTGGATAACGGTTGAAGAGCGGGTGTAAGCGTGCCATTGTCACCGAAGAAAGCGACAGACTCCTTCTCAGCACTCGATGGACCTCTCAACGAAAGCATGCGACCTTGAAATTCCATTTAAATGAAGACTCGGTATTCGCGGAACGAAACGACAAAGTCGAGACTGAAACTGCTGCCGTTGTTCAGTCACCAGTTATCCATATTCTTCTAAAAATCATTCTTATTTTGGCACACCTCCCTTCTTCGAATATAAGGCATCCAAGGACGATTCGATCTTAAGTTATTTCCTATACGATGCATAGTAAAACGCTCCTTATGCATCATGGGTAATAGGTGATCACTAGACGGCGTCCGTGGTTCCTATCTTCGATTGATGAGTTTTTCAGTTATAATCAGACTTTGCCTGACTGATATCTGATCGGATTAGCCTAAGCCGCGACCAAAAGTTCATAAGGGCAGAATGTTAAAGAGATTAGTTTTTAACCTATATGCAAATCTAGCCTTAGATACAGTCAAACGAGATATTACAGCATATGACTTAGAATTTAAGGTGATGTGATTTGGTCGTCACGAATATCCCTTTCCAATGAACCTCATTCTCTAAATACGATGAAACATCGTCGAGCAAGTGCCTTATAATTCATATTTCCCAAGCTTGAAACTCTTTGTATAAGGAAATGCGTGAACAGAGCTCATTAATTAAAGATTCTTTTTGAAACAGCCGCTTCGCATACCAGCTGGCGAACACTACACGTCCATATTTAGTTTCTTCTATCCTTATGAAAACAAAGCAAGCGGTTTAGAACTTTAGCTGTGATAGGAAAAAGGGTGAACGGTGGAGATTTTTTGTTAATCGTCACGAAGTAATAAAATAGCTGAAGAAAGTTCATAACTGCTAGAAACGCCAGCCTCTCTCACACTCATACGGCGGATCCAACTGACACTCACCAAGAGCGCGGCGCGCAACACTGTTGCTGGTGTTGGGCTGCAAGTCAACACCAAGAAAATGAAGACCATCAGATCACCCGTTACGACCATCTGCCCGAGGACGCTATCGCATGATACTTCGGTAGATGAGGTAGACCATTTCAAGTACATCAGAACTGTGCTGGATAACGATGGCGACACAGGTCATAAAGTGAACCAGCATGTTGGACTGGCATCAGTGAATTTCGACCAGCTATAAGAACCAAAATAGAAATTACTGTTCGCAGATTCCGTCTGAAAACGTCAGCTGTCCTCAGATGTCGTGAAGTTCGTCTTGACAGCTTCTTCCATTCTTGTCTGTGAAGTATTCTCGAAGGGCAATCGCCAAAGAACATGCACTGGAGATTAGCAGTCCATAGAAACCATCACATGAGCTCATGCGCCGCCGCCTATGGACCTCTTGCTCCTAGTTACACGTCTTTCAGTGTCAGTATTAAGTGATAAATTCTTGCTATCACGCGGATCATGCGGCGTTTTTCGAACAGGATAGAGTGGATCTCGTAATCTTTCAATCCATGTCATTTTTCCATTGGTCCTATCCATGAACCAGGTATTGCATTGAACAGGTTCTTAGCTTTAGCCATGGTAACCAGCAGATGTCTCCTCTCATTATGCTCTCTGGGCTGCATCTACCGAAGAACTTTACACCGGCACGACCTCATCCGACCTTGGCAATGAACCGTCCCATGGCGGCTGCATACGCAAACTTCGGACCGCAATATCTGTTCCAATTTCTGATGGAATTCTTTTACTTTTTCCTCGTTGATTGTATTCATGCGAGTCTAGGTTTATAGATCTTCAAGATCCTCTGCTTGTTGGAGGCACAGCACACCGCCGCCCATCTCGCTGATTTCATCCGGCAGTAAACAATTTGTATGACCAGCTTTGGCTGACTACAAATGCGATTCTTCCAATACTCTTCAAGCCCTCTTTGTATACTAGTCAAATCAAGCTACGTCCTTCAGGGCTGCCCATATCCTTCTGCCGTCGTGTTTCAAAGAATCAAGAGGTGACGTGGGCCATCCCTGACCTTTCTTCCATTAGTCGGTTGGACGGTTTTTCCATGATCGGTATTCTACGGTTGTAGGTGCGACCTAACACTTCGGATTCTTAACAGCCACTCGCCAGTCAGACACCGAACCGCCGCCGTGGAACTGATCGAGAGAGGAACGGCGTACTGAGGTCCACTTATTCGTGTTGTCACTTTCTGACAGGGCTCATGCTGGCCTGGAGAATTCCATACAGACGAACTGTCCAATTCCGTCCCGTTTTCATTTATGCTTTCTCTTCTAGCTTTGGAAGAACCGAATGTCTAGCCGCAAGGTAGCGGTTACATTGGCGGCCATTTCTTCAAGGGGTTGGTCCTTTTTGTCTGGACATGATACTGTTATCAGTTATTATGAATTTCTCTTGAAAGATCGAACTTGTCGAGCTCGAACCGAGTTATGACCTGGTAGTCTCGTCACCGCCTATCCACGACTGCTTATTTGTCGCAACTGACATCCATGCCTGCAAATCATTTTCTTATGCGCATACTGTCAACTTATGCACGGAAGTATTCAGAAGCGTTGTAATGCCTGTGAGCGTGTGAAATTACCAACTGCACTGTAACAGATTTGCCCACTGTGAAATAATCGTATTTTTAGGTGCAGTATTAGAAACTGAACATATAATGACGCTGGCTATGACAAGTCGGATGAGAAAAGAGTTTCCTAAGGAATTAGGACGGTGAGACTGTGATCTCCAGGTACTCTACAGCAATATTTGTCCGATGATCCGACTCATAAAATGCTTCAACTTTCAATTCATTATAATTGATGAAGGTGAGGGAAGGTGCTAGTAATTCGCCACTGGTACCCAAATGGACTGCTAAATAACCACCCGTCAGAAAACGCTGAAGAAGAGATGTGGTCGAAGAAGCGTGCACGAATCAGTGGCGGCTACAACAAAGACAAGTCGGACGAAGGATGTAGTGGCGACTTGTATATTTATGCTTCTTTAGTTTTAACTTCCTTTTATCAGGAACTATCGAATCGGTAACTCACAGGTCATGTGTTCATGCTACTGCTTGTCATGGTCAATAAGTTAATAGTAGGAACTCTCTGGCCAAGTCAAATGCACTTTCTGTTCAAACTTTTCAGGCTCGACGTACAGGTCTAGATTATTTTCCAGCGCAATGCTCCTGTGCAATGGATCAGTCAATATCAGCCGGTTTCAAAAAACGGGTATCACCTGAACCAACAGAATCTGGCTTTCGGAAACTACCGAAATCGAACTTTCGAACGTCTCAGCAATCGCTGCGATCCTCTGTGGCTAATGAAAACCTTCCATGAAAGAGCAGGGCATCAAAAACGGTCATCGATCTGGTGCGTAATCCGTTTTAAGACAGCGTTTAAACATGAATGCTGTGAAACTTGTTTCAAACCGACGATGGACCGCACCTCTCCCTGAAAGGAGACCGTGCTTCCAGTGATAACATACGGAGGCGAGGAGAGATGTTAAACTGAAGACTTAATCATATGCATGAACCGCAGACTACGGAACGCGGCATGAAAAGGCGTTTGTATGGAATAGCGAGCACAGAAAAGAGTCTGCTGTCTGAATGAAGTAGTTGAACTGGCAGTCGGCAACAAGAACCGACCATTGCGGATCAGAGAAATGAGAAGGGATTTCAGGAGACAGTAAACGACTCATGGTAAGCCCACTGGATCAGTGACAGATGAATTGGAGAAAAGTAGTGAACGAGAATCGCATAGGACAGAAATCTTGCAGGTCTTCGCCCTGTAGTAGAAGGTTACAAAGCACTGATAATTGCCTAAGGAACCATTGAAACAGGCAACCTATCCATTGTTACATGCAGTACGTGGTTGTAAGACAGAATTCACTGAGCAGGGCCAAATACACGGCTATACGGATAACTACTGCAATTGGCGAATGCGTAGTGTCTCATGGTAGTGGAGTGCAAATAGTGAGAATTCACAGAAAAATGCGATCTTTGCCAGCTGTATCAAAAATTAGCAATTGGTTAGCAACCAACTAATAAACACCCAACAACAAACAGCCAATGATAGCGAAGCAATTTTTTGTGAATTTACAGACTTCTTTGTAAACTATCTGTGGAAATACCTAATCGCGCAGCGGTGGCCGAGTGGTTAAGGCGATTGACTAGAAATCAATTGGGCTCTGCCCGCACAGGTTCGAATCCTGTCCGCTGCGGTTCTTTTCTTTTGGAGGTACAATACTGATTATATCTTCCATATCTTTCAACATTTTTCGATAAATTCTCTCCTTTGCATACCATAAGCACTGTCAAATACGTTAATATATTAAATTCTTGTAAATGTGTGCTAACTTCAAGCAACTAGATATCTGATCAGCGACATCCATATCGTGAAACACTTCGACTAAACGGCGATGCCCAAGGCGAGGCAAGCTTTTCGAATGCATTGTAAAACGAACAGCTAGCGAAAGTGTTATCACTAACATCAATTACTGGTAATGATGCATATATGGAGTCAGCATCAATTATTACCTCAAGAGTTCTTGTATCAACGTTGGGTCTAGAAGTTGAATTTTCCATACGTGAAATCCGCAGTACTTTGTTACTGTCTCTAGACACTGACTGAGCCACACATTTTGGACGCCCATTTGGCAGTTCAAGTATAGATTTGAGTTGATAACAATGATATAAACTTTAAAGCAACTCTAGTTCTCTTACCTTATTGTCGTTGCGCAGTAAATCTGTTATAGCTACCTTGTCATTAGTTTGATCCATCGTTTCAATTGTTTTTCTGTTTTTATCATTACATATACGACAATCGTTAATAAAATATATGATTAATTTTTAACGCTATTTATTTTCTTTGATCTGTACTGAATAACAGGTCTTGTTCAAAGGGTAAACTTAAACTTTCACTGCAAACCTCTATGCCAAACAGAGTGGTTAGAAGAACGACTGAATGATTCGATAGTGAGCTGAAGTCCTGAACTTCAAGATATTCTGCTTTAGGCACAATAAATATGACAAAGACTGCCATGCAAGGCACTGTTCCGTAAAGAAAAATGAGAGGACGCCGAAGGAAATGCTGAAATAAAATTTTAAAAAATTGAAC